ACAGCTGAATTTTGGGGTGGATTTTCCCATGTTTATTTTTTCTTCCCTACTTTCTTTTACACACTTCCCTCTCTCTGCCCCCCCCCCTCCCTCTCCATATTCCTTCCACTCTCGCGCGCCCCCTTTGCTATGCCACTGGTCAGATCACTTACTCGCCATTAATACGACCAGGATCATAACTTCCTATCCACGCCAACGCCTAGATCCTATCGCTAAAGCCGTTCCCTCATTTCACCTCGCCTGCCTTATTCTGTGCATTTCAAAAATTACACATCCTTGAGCGCTGATTTCATCCCTTCAAGTTCTGTGAACTTCAAAACTGAATCTTATCAAACTTAGCTTCTTTGGACGCATTGAAAAACGTGCGTAGACTGATTCGAGAAACAAAAGAATAGATCATTTTTGAATCACACTTTATGCTATCCTGGTGAATTAATTCTGATGGAATCACTGCCTCATCACTGATGAGAATGAAACGAGAAGATGAATCTTTCGTGCGGAGTAAGCCAATTAATGACTGATCGATTTATTACAGTATAATATTGATATTACAAATTAAAATACAATCTAGTTATTTTGGTAATTGTCATACGACTAAATAACGAAGCTGACTACAACAAAATCATTTTTGCGCGGTGGTACTTTTTGACTTCGGAAGTTCTGTTTGAATGGACGCCAGCTGATCATCCCACGACTTCTCGATTTTCGACCAGTGCGCCAATAACTCTTTCTTTCTTTGTTCTCGTTTATTGAAATAATATGGGAANTCCGCAAATCATTGAAATTCAGTAAGAAATGGACATCTGTTAGAGTGAAGTGACGACGCAGAAAAAACTGTGAACGAAAAGCACTCACCACGTCAGGGGATTCTCGTTCACGATCATATGAACTGCCACCGGGATCGAGCGCAACTGAAAATGGTTTTGAAACAATCGTTTGAAAACATTATCATGATTGTGAAAACAAGAAATGGAAACTTTCAAAATGTTGATGAGAAAGAATGAAATGAAGAGACAATAGTGACAAGAAGAACGAACATCGCATCGGTTTGAAGTGTCTCTTTTCCCAAACCTGACGACATCCATCAGCAAGAAGGAGTTGTGCCTTGCGGATGTCTTTCTCGTCTTTATTTGCATCAAAACGTGCCCGCATTACTACTTTCTGATAGCGCACTTCTAAACTGCAATAGAAAAACAACAGTAACACATCGGTGTTCATTATTATGTTTATCGCTATTGATGTTTTTGCATGTCAGTGACGATATCACTCTTTTTGTAGTTATTGTCATTGCTATAAATTTTCAAAAATTTTAGAAGCGATCATTACACGAACGGAAAGGTTTCACGATCACATTACTAATATTCTCTTCTCAAAGACAAAACCGAAAAGGAGTTATTCAAGAAAATTTCAAGGAACTCTCGTTACTACTCAGCATCCTTTGAATCATTCATTCGAACTTGTCCGAACTGACCAATCAT